AGCCAGCGAAAGATGTGCCAGATAGATAGACGGACAGTCGTTTGTTACGATTTAGGCGAAAGGACGTGCATACTTGACGAACGCAAGCAGATAACCCGTTGATAATGCTACGATTGCGTTGCATCGATCATGCTTTGCGTCAATCATCTCCTTCGTGCTTTTCTGGAAAATCGATCGCGAAAAATATCAAGTTTCCGTCGTTAACTTTTTTATTCTGACATAAAATATTTTTCACAAAAGATCCCAATTTTTCGCGCGTCTTCGAAAATATTGACGGAGTCGTTCGTACTTAATATTTGATACGGTAAATCGCGGGAGGTTAATATTTGATACATTTGATAGGAATATTTTAACAGATCTTTACGTATGTACAGCAGCTTTCGCTCGGGGATCTTTCACGGCGTCCGCTTAATCCCGAGCTAATCCTCGATGTCAATCGGCCGTGTCTGCTGCCTGGGGAGGCGTTTGCGAGACCTCAGCCGTGTATAAGAGTAGAAGAGAACACACACGTTCATCCAGATTCCCGGTGAAACGCTCGGGGTAGGCTGGCACGACTAAACCGTCGACGTAGGACGAAAAAACGGGGCGGAAAATCGTGTGTATAGGGCGGCGGTCGGGAACGATGTTCGCGGGTACTTGAATGTCTCATTTTGAGGAGACTGCGGGAAGGGAAAGGAGAGCCGCGGAACGGTGGCGTCGAGCCGGAACTTTATAAAGCGCGTCTTTGCATGTTTTCACTCCGGGCACGCACGCTTTTATCGTCCCTACAACGCCCGCCGGTAGCGAGCGGCACGATAACACGATCCAATTCGTCGTCACGGCACGTATATACGTGTATGTGTACACACGCGCGTCTACGCACACCTGCATGCGCAGCATGCATGCATACCGGAAGAGCGTGCGGGCGCTCCGCTCGCGCGGCGGTGCGATCGATCGCAAAAGTTACGTAATGAGTCTCCGCGTGCGCTAACTCTTGCCCGGAGACCGCCAAAATCTAGGTTATCAAGTTTTCGTCGGCAACCTACGCCGCTCGATCAGGGCCGCAGCTCTGCCTCCCCATCGAGAAAGATAGCGAAGCGTCGCAAAATATAATTTCGTTAACTAACTTGCCTTCTCGGAGTTTAATTAAAGCAGTTTGCTCTTGCAAAAAACATTGACGGCTAGATATTTTCCCGGGAAAAAAAATATCGATTCCCACTTTAATCAAGGAATTTTTACTCTAAAAAATACTGTTCTTTCTGATTTACCTAATTTAAAAGTCATAAAAATTCTTAAAACGTTCCTGCTTATCTCGCGATTCTCGTTAGAGAGAGACTCTCCGGCCGAAGCGGCGGCTCAATTGAACGACTCCCCGAAAACGGCGGCAAATCGAATAAAATTTCTTAATTCGTTTCCCGGGGAGCGCGCGCCCGCGCGCACGGCGCCAATTAAATTTCAGTATGGTAATTCAAGCGGCGGGGCACGCTGCCGGGGGAGATCCCGAAGATGACGCATCTCTCTGCGTCAGCGCAGCGCGGCCCGCCACCGCGCTTCTTCCAGCCCAGAAATGGCTAGCTCGATTAGCGCAACTGGGCAGCCAACTTCGAAAACCCGTCGGGTGCGATAACTTTTCTCTCCTCTCTCGCGCGCGCGGGTGAAACTTTTAGCGCTCTCCGCCTCTTTTCTCTTCCTGCCGTTCTTTCCTTTTCGCGCCGTGCATTAGAGTAATCACAGCGATGAGAAGTATAACGTCGTGGGAGCGAAACCATTCTTAGAGCTCGCCTTATCAAATAATAGAGAAGTTATCCGACACACAATTATCCGAAACATTTATGCGCGAAAGTTGGAAATTACGTCAATGGTATTTAGTATTTCGTTCGTGAATCTTAAATTTGCAAATTGTAAATTAATTTTTCGAGAATTGCGAAGCGTTTGAAATATTTCTTGCAGATTCATATTTCTTGCTTTAATTTTGAAAAATTCCGCAAACAGCTGACGCCGCATATATTGCACAGCTGTATTTAAATCGTAAATGAAAGTAATTACCATAATTAGTTAAACGATAATTTTAATATTTATAAGAAGGACGAGAGAAGAAGAAATCTGTACGTCGAAGAGATTTATTTGTCGTTCGATATTTCTAAATTAAATCTAAATTTTGTTTATTATATATTTGCGTGATGATGAAGATATTACGAAAGTGTTTAAATAATGTTTTATTATTTTGAAATTGCAGTATTTCCATTTTGGACGCAATGAGATATAGTTTATGTAAATCAAATACTTCATGAATATAGGGTTGATATATTGCATATTATTCTCTTTCCACATTATAAATTAATTTGCATAATAATATGTTGAGCACAGAGAGGTCTCTCGAAAATTTCTCTCGTAGCTATTTTTGAAGAGAAAGAAAAAAAGAGATCGCCATGCGTCCAATTATGGTGCCGCGATTTTAGATGTCCGCACGATACACGCACCGGGAGTACCGAGATTAATGTGCGTACGCGAACTATGTTCGCCTTTTATTATATGTATATCCAAGTATCTCATTATAAGCCATGAATAATGTAGCGCTTGAAAATGCATCGCCCGAGTGGAATCGCCCGAATTTCCGGGGTAGAATAAAACACGTCGTATCCATGCTAATCGGCGTATTGCATTTTGCCGGTCAATTGCACCGGCTAGACTAACAGTTCAATTTAACGACGGCGATGGCAGTAAGAGACGGCGGCAGTGATAACAGTCCCCGTCTCGTAATCGCGAACAACTGCCGGAACATGTGCATCACGCGTGTGTGCCGATTAAATTGCGTGTCCTCTAAACAGCGTAACGGCCCGATATACAGCCCGTAACATTCCCACGGGAATGCTGTCGTTCGCGTACGATCGGGAATGCCGACGATTTCCTTTGATTCATATCGCGGCGCGATGATAAGATCCGTAAATGATAGAGCGATAAACCGCGAAGGGATTGTACGCCTGTTATCGCCGAACAGTCGTAAACTTCCACGATCGCGCTGGGAATTCAAGGATGGTACAATTCTCGTGAACATGGGCTGCCGTGAAACGTCGGTTGCCGATCAAAGCTATGGGTCCGTCTTGCACTCGATCTCGCTGCAGTCGGTATGCATTTTTAGCACGGAGCGAAGGGCAGAATTACAGCCGTTACATTTGTTCTCCAGAAAATTGAACGTTTAATTTTACGGCTGCATTCATCGCGTTCACGTGTTGAATTTTACGCGTGTTAACGATGCAAATGGAAATTACACCGCACACGCTCTCGAAATTCTTTATGTTTTCTTTTAAAAAATATATATCAGAATCGTTCCTTCTTTATCTTTATGTTTATCTCGCATAAAAGGGTTCCGGGAAAACTTACATCTTATATAGTTTAACTATTAAATATTATACTTCCCTTAGTTTGCATAATGCTCAGTATGCAAAATACTATTTGATATTTTCACGCTGAGAAAGTGAAATTTTATACCGTAAAAGATAACTTAACTCGCTGGAACGAGAAAATGGTAACTTAGAGTTTCTAAATTACAAAATTTTTAGTCGCAATATTTTCTCCGCCGCGTTTACGCGCGAGAGGAGAAAATCTGTCATCTGTAATAGTTAACATTTAGTTGATAGGGGTAATATAACATCTGATGTAACTTTAAATATATTCAAGAGAGCCTTCATTAATAGCGTGCATTTTGCAGCGCTCGCAATGTACAGGAAAGATGGATGCAGTAGTTGGAAATTCTGAGGGAACTGTGTACCAAGCCCCCACTGACTTTTAATTCCATTTTCCGCAAACATCTTCCGTTTCCTACAAACAACTGAATAATCGATAGTTACCGCCGCCCCGCTCCGGCGGATGTTGAATTTTAATAACATCGGTTCTCAAATCCAACGAATGAATAGGCATCAGACTTTTTGTCGAGGGAGCAGCATTGTAAAGTCGACAAGCGGGAGAGAAGAATCCAAGCCGAACGCAGTGATATGGCGAAACAAAATCAGCGTTGTCAGACATCCGGAAAACTGAGAGAGAGTCGGGAAAACTGAAAAGTGTCAAGGAATATCAGGGAGAGTTGGAAAATATTTTCGAAAAATCGTTGATAGTTGAATGATAAAAAAAGAAAGAAACTGATTGACGGTGAAACGATATTATCGATATTCTAATATTATTTAGCTTGTTACTGAAAAATGATATTTGCCGTTAAAGGGAAAGCGATAGCAAAAGTAGTAGCTCTTTTCATTAACGTGTACATCGGCCGCTTTATTTTCCTCCTTTTTGCTCGGTTTTCCCCGCGCGCGCGCTCTCCGCGAGATGTTGTAATTACATTTAGAAGCTTATCTCGCGATGGTCGAGGAAGACGGTGAGACCGGCCATCGGAAAAACCGGGGAAACTCGAGAAATTTTCCAATTGTAGCCGCGCGTAGCAACCCAGCGAGCGATACACACCAGCATACGCCACGCAACACCCGTTAGACTATCGCCGAGGAGAATGACATAAGACATCCCCGTTCTGACTCGGGCGCCATATGACCGTCTCTGTCGCAAGCTCTGTCCTCTCCCCTCCGCCACGTTCCTTCCCTCTTTTCTCCACCGCGCCCGCACCACTATCCTCTACATTCTACTACCGTCATTCCTTGCCCTCTCGTCTCACCGGTCCGCCACCTACCACCACCCCCGCACTCCCACCACGCCGACATCGGTGCACCACCACTACCGTCCGCCGACTAACACACCGACACCGTCGCCGGCCCGAGAGCCGTTGTCGCGAGCGAGAGAGGGAATGAAGGAGGAGAAAGAACCCCGGCGGGAAAGAGAAACAGCGAGAG